ACTCTTTCAAGGATGCCCAACTTGAAGAAGTTGTCGTCATCCCTCCAAAAAGATCTCAGTGACTCGCTCTCCTATCACAACCCACCGGTTATCCACAAACAAACTGGAGAATGTTGCTTCAAGTCAATGTGGGCACCAGTGGGTACAGCAGTAGGAACAACACAGAAACAAGCATGGTTCAGCGGAACAGTGAATTTACTAATCAATGTGGTGACAATCACACAACGTGAACAATGAATTCAGTGAGTCATAGAATCATACAGCCTGGAAACAGACCCTTTGGTTCAACCAGTGCATACCAAACATAATCCCAAACTAAACAAGTCCCACCTGCCTGCTCCTGGCCCAACTCCCTCCAAACCTGAGGCGGCACGGTGGCTCAGTGGTTAGCACTGCTGCCTCAGAGCTCCAGGGACCCAGGTTCAATGCCACCCTCGGGCGACTGTCTGTGTGGAGTTTGCACATTCTCAATGCAACTATAGAAGCCATCACAACTGTTGGATCTAACTTCAACTGTTCACCCTTGCACTTCAACAACAAGGAGCTCAAGCATCAAGCCCTAATGGGATACTATGGTGGCTTATTAGGAGTTTTGTCTCAAGTTATTTTGTCTCATCAATAGTTGTTATAATCTTGCCGTGTGTAATCTTTTGTTGATAACTTTATCATTTGATTTCGTTTATTATTGCCACATGCACCGAGATACAGCAAAAAGTATTGTTTGTGTGCTAACCAGACAGATCATACCTTACGTAAGTGTATCAGGGCAATAGAACAGATCCTAAGGATCCTTTCATAATTATTCATAAGAACCTAACATTTTAATCTGTTTGGGAGCACAGGAGACAGCTAATCATTCCTTCAAGTCGGCTCTGCCATTTTGAGTCCTTGGCTGATTGTTAACCTCAATGCCATATTCCCATGCTCTCACATTCTGCCTTGGCGTCACGAGTCACTGAAATTGATCAATCGCCTCTTCTTCTACATTCCAGAGAATACAGGCCCGCTCTCAGCAGAATCCCACCATCCTAAGTATCAATCTGATGTACCTTTGCTGTATTCCTCCTATGGCAGGTAAATTTTCCTTAGGAAAGGGGACCAGAACTGCACACAATACTCCAGGCGTGGTCTCATTGGTGTTCTATACAATTGAAGCAAGTGTTCTTTGCTCCTGGACTGAAATCATGTTGAAATAAAGGCTAACAGACTGTATGCCTTCTGAATTGGTTGCTGCACCTGCATGCTTTAAGCATAAGCTTGACTGCTGATCTGCCTTAATTTGAATCAACACCAATTAAAAGGGGGCTAGACGATCTATATTAATCTACAGTTCACTCACCATGTCGTAGACATGGCTGGTGGTCATGGCACTAGCCATGTTGCTTAATGGGAGAAAGAATGCTGGAATCCAAAAGTCCTCACTTAATCATTATTGTCATGATCCTGACAGGATGAGTGCACTGGAAATCATGCCCCATTATTCCATGAAAGATGACCAATTCAATGGCTATGATGGTTAATGCTTCACTCTGACCACTGTCTAAGTAAAAGAAACTCACACCAGGTTTCAACAATGAAGCAGAAAAACAAAACTGGTTATCATAACAAACCTATCCTTAAATATGGGGGTAAAAGCAGATTATTAATTACTAAAATACAAACAAACCATAATCACTTGAAATCCAACCACGAACACATTCATTCACAAATTAATCGGCTGGAAGACAAATGGCTTTGCCAGAATCACTGCTGAAGTGCCAGGGGCCCATTACACGATTTCCACACACGGTGGTGAATTATTTTCATAGAATCCCTATAATGTGGAACCAGGCCATTCTGACCATCGAGTCCATACCGACCCTCTGAAGCACATCCCACTCAGACCCACTCCACTACCCTTCCCTATTCCCATAACCCTGAATTTCCCATGCCTCATCCACCTAACCGACATTTCACTGGACACCTTGGGGCAATTTAGCATGGCCAATCCATCTAACCTGCACACCTCTTGGCTGAGGGGGGAAACTGGAGCACCCAGACGAAACCCATGCAGACACAGGGAGAATGTGCAAACTCCACACAGACAGGTGCCCATGGGGGGAATCGAACCCAGGTCCCTGCTGCTGTGAGGCAGTAGTGCTAACCACTGAACCACCATACTGCCGAATTTTATTTAACAACAATTTGACAATCAATGTGGTGTGATTGCAACATTTCAAGTATCATACAAGTACACTTGGGGTCCCAGTATAACGAGTTGGCTTTAGCACTTTAATTTACATTTAACGTTTCAGACATCAGTATATAAATGCTTCACAAATGACAAACCTCTGGTTGATAGTACTTACAAGCACCTAACAAGCAATTTAATAAAATGAAACATGATTTCAAACTTTTTCTTTTGAGATTGCACTTCGTATGGAAATACAAATTTAAATAAATACATTATTTATATTCACAAGGATGTACTCGTTATTAACTGCCGAGTTATTGATTCATGTTTGTTAGTTTAATGATAAACTTTTGATTAAAAATTATGTGGCTAGATTTGGAATCAGTCAATATGAAATATTGCAATCAAGGGAGTGCAAAGAAGTTTTGAGATTTAATTCCTGGGATAACAGGACTGATGTACAGGCAGAGACTGGGTCAGTTAGGACTATATGCACTAGAGTGTAGAAAACTGAGGGAGGATCTCATAGAAACCTATAAAATTCTAACAGGACCAGACAGGGGAAATGCTAGGAAGGATGTTCCTGATTGCTGGGGAGTCCAGACCAGAGTCGCAGTCTAAGGGTAAAAGGGGTAGAACAAAGATGAGGGGAATTTTTTCACCCAGAGAATAGTGAGCCTGTGGAACACTCTGCCACAGGAAACTGTTGAGGCCAAAACATTGAAAATTTCAAAGAGTTAGACATAGTTCTTAGGGCTAAAGAGATGAAAGGGTATGGGAAGATCAGGGTACCGATTAAGATGATCAGCCATGATCAGTTTGAATGGCAGAGCAGGCTTGAAGGGCTGAATTGCCTGCTCCTGCTCCCTTGGTCTGTAGTTCTATGCCTAACTGAGGAAGCTTTCTCATTGTAACTGAGCACTAAGTGCACTCCATAAATCTAAGTGCTTGAAAATATAAGCACACTGATGGGGGAATGGAAAGTCTCAATTTTTGAGAAGCTGAAAATTATTGATCAGTTAAGGAAGGTGTTACACAAAACCAGAAACTGACAAAGAGTCACTGCTCTCAAAACATTTACACTGCTCTCTTCCCACAGATGCTGCCAGACCAGCCGAGTTTCACGGGCAATTTCTGCTTTTGTTTCATATCTGTCGTTCTTTGTTTTATTTTAGTGTTATTCAAGTTTCATAAAGAATTGAGGTTACTGAATCAATATTTCATGAGTAGTTTAAAGATGGGGTTGTGAAGGGTGTTAATCGAAATGCCCAAAGGCAAGAAAGAAAGTCTGAGACGCTGTATGCAGGTGGGTTACCAAATAGGTAACATGGCTTCGTCTATCAACATGATCTTGAAATATTGTTCCTGCAGACCTTGTGATAGCAATGTCACAGTGTACTCTGTGTGAAATGAAACAAGCATTTCTTTCTGGCTCCTTCCACAGTTACTGAAGCACACAAATCAAAGACAGCCCTTAAAGCAGCAAGGTCCCATAAATTTAGGAGACAGTTCGTAAGTTTGTGGATGATACCAAAATTGGTGGCATAGTGGACATCAAAGAAGGTTATCTAAGAGTACAGCAGGATCTTGATCAACTGGGCCAGTGGGCCGAAGAATGGCAGGTGGAGTTTAATTCAGATAAATGAAAGATGTTGCATCTTGGTAAGACAACTCAGAGCCAGTTGATGGTAGGGCCCTCGGGATGCAGGTACATAGTGCCTTAAAATTGGCATCACAGGTAGACAGGGTGGTGAAGGACATGTTTGGCATGTTTGCCTTCATCAGTCTGAGCACTGTACACGACATTGATAAGGCCAAATTTGCAGTACAGCATACAACTCTGGTTGCCCTGCCATTGGAAGGATGTTATTAAACTGGAAAGAACACAAAGAAGATTTACAAGGATGTTACTGAGACCAGAAGGTTTGAGTTATAAGGAGAGGCGGGATAGGCTAGGACTTTTTAACCCTAGAGCACAGGCGATGAGGAGTGACCTTATAAAATCATGAGGGGCATAGATCAGGTGAATAGCCAAGGTTTTTTTTCCCCCCAGGGTAAGGGACTCCAAAACTAGAGGACTCAGGTTTAAAGTGAGAAGGAAGATTTAAAAGGGATGTAAGGAACAACTTTTACATAGAGGCTGATGCTTATATGGAGCAAGCTACCAGAGGAAGTGGTAGAGATGGGTACTATTACAACATTTAAAAGACATGTGGATAGGTGCATGGATAGGAAAAGTTTAGAGGGATATGGGCCAAACGCAGGCAAATGGGACAAATTGTGTTTGGGAAACCTGGTTGGCATGGACGAGTTGGGCGAAAGGGCCTTGTTTCCGTGCTGTATGGCCCTATGACCTTACAAACAATGGAATCTGCTTGCAGCTAAACAGAAGAGTGTGAAGATGTCACCATTATCATTCAGATCATAGAAACAGTAACTACACCAGAAAAATGGCACGGAGATCAGTTTCTACTCGGCAATAATACCAGTAAACTCAAAACATCCCTTTAGAAAGAAGCTGTGGGCAAAATCCTGGATTAATCACCTGAGATACAACAGAGCTAGTCTTGTTTAGGGATATCATAATCACTTTGACAGCTGTACAGAAATACAAATAAATCAATTTGACAATGTGTGCTTTTTTCAATAGCAATGACAACAATTTGGGGTCAGATATACGAATAATGAAGTCTGCTAGGATTAGCAAATCATCTGGAGGCTTTTTTTAAAAATGAATTTATCAAAGCAACCTAGTGTAACTAGTCAAATTACATAAAACACATTAATGGGAGACAAGCTGAGCCAAAGAAAGCATGCAGACACTTACGAATAGAGTGAGGAGCTTTGAATAGAATTGAGAGAAGGACAGGGCCATTTAGGCCAAGATGATTTAACCACAGCCTGATCGCCACTTTTCTGCCTGTTCTCCATAAAAGGTTAAAAATCTAACTCAGCCTTGAATGTACTTCAGTAATCTACGTCCATTGCTCCCTCGACAGGAAATTCCAAAGATTAATCATTCTTAGAAAACATCCTTCCTTATCTCCACCCTGAAATGGGAGACACTTTATTTAGAAACTGTGTCGCCCAGTTCTGCTGCCACAACTTCCAGTCAGAATTTTACATATTTCAATAACCTCTTTTTTATTTCATTTTCTGATTAGCGAGTGCAGATCTTGCTCAACTTTTCTCCTTAGGGAACCCTTCAATCCAGAAAATCATCACGTGAACCTTCTCTGAACTGCTTTGTGATAATATATCATTGTCCCTCAAGAAGGGAAACCAAATATGTATGCAGTACTCAAGGTGTTGTCTCATCACATCCAACACAGCTCCAGCAAGACTTCCCTACTTTTATAATTCATCCACTTCACAATAAAAACCGAGAAGGTCCACTGGATAGCATTGTCAGGAGGGTGAGTGGAAAGTCAAGAGAAACTGCAGACTAGTATAACCACAATCATGAAACAATGGGAGACAGTCAAGAATGGTATGGAAGAACCACAAAACTAGCCCGTGCCAAAGGATGATGAAAGGACCAAAAGACTGAATTCAACAAGTGACCATGAGGAAGTTTATAGAAACATACTTGATATTTGGATATTAACAGTATTTTGAGTCAAAGAGGGAGAACAAGGAGGCACAGATTAACACCAATTAACACCAATTTAAGAGGTAATGTCATTGGTCTAGTCACCTGGAAGGTACGGTTCATGTTCCAGAGAGAGACTGGTTCAAATGCTTCCAAGCTTAATACATTTATTTAAAATTGTGTTCATGCATAAATGGCCCCTGAATTTAGTCCTACAAGATGCCCAAACAATCTCAGATTGAGGGTAAGGTTTCTCAAAGCCAACAGGTAAAGCAGTTGTTTCAGACTGCTACTCTGCAGTCGTGACAAAAGTGGTGTTCACCACTAACAGGATGACACCAACAAGCCAAATTCTGGCCTTTCCAACATCCATGAAGGAATTAAAAAAAAAAACTTGGAATTGGCTTCAAGAAGGAATAGTCTTAAAACAGTGAAGGCAGAAGCCACACATTTATCCAAAACATGACTAAATGATGTGATAGAGAGTGGGCAGTATTTTCATTTTGATTGATGAACTTAAAATGCGCTGAGCAGACTCTCTTTGTCTGTATTTAGTATTTTAACTTTGAAATTCTGCTTGTGCTTTTAAGGATTATATACCAGCTTACATTTTCTGATATTAAATACTCACAACATTGTCCTTAATACTTTCACTACTTTGAATTTCAGTCATATTCTCTTCAGTTTTCTTTCCCACAAGAACAGCCCCAGATCCTTAGGTCCATCCTACGTTTTATTTGCTGACCCCTTGTCTTAATAATGTTTCGCACCATTTCCAATTAAAATGTGTTCTGTGGAAGGAGCTTCAAAATTGCATTCACACTGTATGGGCACTACCGAGCATTGAACATAATGTTGCAATTGAATCCTTTGATCTATCACCTTTTGAGAACCTTAAGAACAGGGTTGACTATTCAGTCCCTCAAGCTTAGTTAGATCATGGTTGATGTAATATTCAACTCACTTTACCTTTGATACCTTCACGCAATTTAAGCCTTTTTATTCAACTACTATTTACTTTTTTTTCTAGCTGCTGTACTATAAGGGCTAGTCTAGTCTGAACACTAGATTGCTTATCAGACCAATTCTAGTTAGTATTTTCCCACTAATCCTGTGATACCTCAGCATGTTCCTTCTTTTCGTTGCATTATTTCATATTTGCCCTATCTAAACCACCTGCAATGTTCACTATTCCCGATACCAGACACTAAAAATTCAAGTCACTGCTTCTCCAACCAAAAACATGCCCACTAGCACAAATCCCACCCCTTGTTACTTAACTTTAGTGCAATGCCAGTGTTACCATGCCAGCCAATTTCTCGTTTTTATATTGCACATTACCAAATGTTTTACCCATTTCAAGTAAATTACTTCCACTTTGTTGCACTTATTCCAATCGTGTTAGTTATAATATTCTATTGCTTAGAAAAAAAAACAAGCCCCTCTTTTTAAATTTGTCATTTTTTATTTAGTTAACAGCTGTCTAGGTGTCCCACTTGCTAATCTTTAATAATTGATTCCAAGATATAACCTGATGTCACAGTAACTTGCCTATTACAATCAGAATCCTCCTCAGTTTCCTTTTACATATGAAGCCAACACTATTGGTGCTCTGCATTCCTCTAGAGCGGCCAATATTATCGAGATAATTCTTGAAGATTTTGACCAGCAGTGTTCCCTTGTTCAGCCTTCAGTTCTGCAAGAACCCCAATTTATTTCTATGGACCTCCTTCAAGTATCCAGTTGCCACCAACGACATCAGTAACGTTGAATCTGTTGGATCATTTTGGTTCTGCCACCTGTCGATCTTTTTCTCTTGTAAGAACTACATTTTTGAATAAATCTTCATTAATCTTGGCTCTGTATATATACTAATGAATTATTACTTTGCAACCTGACACACCGAAAAAATCATTGGCAATTCTTATTTCATGCACTTATGCACTTATTTTGTTCTTAAAAGTCTTTACTGCGAACTTCCTTTTCTTACAATTCTCAATTCAGTGTCAAATGGCACCAACTTCGTGATCCTTGTAGATTTGTTATTAATCCCCATCCATTTCACAATTCATGCACTTTACTTAACAAGGTTGATACAGCGCTCTTCAAAACCATCCAGGTAGGAAGTTGAGGCAAGAAGGCTTATTAAACCCTCATCAGTTTCACACTGTGAACACGATCTACAAGAGATGAAGTCCATGAGGACTGGAGGCCCTGTACCAATAGAGATTAAAAGATCAGGATTGTTTGACACCTGTCACAATAAGGTGTTCCTTTTTTCCACAGGCCATCCACCCCAAAATGTATAAAAATCTAATGAGACCACTAGGGTGACCAATTTGCCTGACTGACTGCTATTCAGGACAAAAGAAAAATAATACTATTTATTGTAATTTTAGCAAAAGGCAGAGAAAATAAATGACATCTAATATACAACTACAAATAATAATCTTTCAAAACCCCAAAGTACCTACACGTTCATTCACGATTAAGAAAGATGGGTTGATTGGGATATTATGGGTGGACAAATTGTACAGAACAGCTAAGCAAAACTTCAAAGTTCAAAAATCCCAATTTTGTGGGTGGGTTAAATTGCTTCACATATATCCTGCTTATTTTTAGCACTGATGGCACTCTGTAAGGTGATGGTTGCTTGTCACATCAACAGCTAACCCACTAGCCTGAGGTTTTTTTTGTTAGAATTCCTTCTGAGCCTTCAAGGTTTATCTGTCATTTTAACCCAACGAGAGAGAAGGGGGGAAAGGCTCTGGATATGTCTAGCTGCTCTTGCACTTACAGCTTCATAAACTGCAGCTCAATCATAAGGCTACTGTCAGGCAGAATTTCCCGAACTCAAAATATCTCCTTTGCTGCTTCGAAAAGCAACACTGCCTTACACAGCTAAAGATATACAGCACTAGAATTTTTCTACAGGTTGTAAAGCTCTCCTGGTATTTCAACAATATTATGTTGCAACCCAACTTCCATTTCAGTATATATTTCAAAAAGGAAATCTATGTAGTCTCTTACACAGCATTAAAGATCAGAACTCCATGCGTTGGTACAACAGCACTGCAAATTGGAGAATCTTCCCTAATGGAAAGGGAAAAGGCAAGTGGAAATTTTGACTAATAAGAAATGCTACTGTGTGTGTTGATTTTGTGAATGGATAGATATTTACATGTTCCCAAACTGTGGGAAAATCCAGCTCCTATTTTTGCTTGAGTGCAACAGGCACAATCTAGATATCAAAGTTTTCCATAAATGGTAAGTAACCTTTAACTACATAAGATGGACAGGAGTTAAGGATTAGTAAGAAAGGACACTATAACAGCAACCAAATTGTCTAGAATGTACGTAAGATTTTCAAACAAAGCCTTGGGTTTGGTGAGAATGATGAGAATACAGCAGTCATACATCAACATTATAACTAATAATGACAATAGGTGGTTCATGGAATGTCATTTAAAATAAAATTCTAAGATTGCAAACAGATTTTTTTAAAAAATGCACCATTGAGAATTTACAGCATTTGATGGCTCACAATGCACATCATTAATTCATCTCTTTAGCAGCTGAATTTTGTATCTAAGGTAAAGGATTCAGTAAAATCCTGCTATACACAGGAACTGTGTTCATGGAGAACATCAGAGTCAAGTCACTCTTGTAAATGGCAAAAATGACTAACAGTACATGCACCACACCCAACACATGTGGCACCCAGATAAGCGAAGACTGCAGTCACAATCAGAAAGTAGGTACAGTATTATTGTGAATTTACCAAGTGTATCACAGAAATGGCAGGGCTTTACTGGAACAAAATTTCCACACGAAGCCTAGCGTCAGCAATGAACATTTCCAACTCAAATGCATCTCATTCACTGATATCTTTTATTGAAGGAAATCTACCGTCTTTACCATGTCTATCCTATACATGACCCCATGCAAGGCCATTTCAGAGTGCGATTAGGAGTCAACCTCATTGCTGCAGCTATGGTGTCATGTATACAACAGACATGGAAAAATGGAATAAATGGACAAGAAAGCTCCATCGGTACTTGCCTGTCACATTGTTTAAGCCTCATTTCTGTAAAGCTCCCCCTTCCACAACAATGCTTGTTTCCATTTCTCAAATAAGCCCTTCTTGTGCCTGAGTGAGATAGCTAATTAAGTGTTATATTCTGAGCCATTCAAATGAACAAATCTGTTTTGCATAGCTCTCTTCCAGTTAAGAGAAAGGATAAAAAACCAAAACCGCATTCTAAATACAAGTGTTTGTAAGCCGGGGACCCACTGTGATAAGTACAATGACTTAAATCAATCCAGTGATCACTTCTGCATTTAATATCGTCTCATCCAGTCCCAAGTGATTTGGGCCAGGTACAGGCCGGGAGATCACGTGTCTGGCCTAATTGTCACAAGCAAACACACGTCCAGGAAACATCATGGCAAAACCAGCATTTGTTGCCCATTCCGAAGTGCTTGATGGATAGTAGTGAGCATCCTGCTTGAGTCTTGTGGATTATAATCACTTGTAACAGTCTTTGGTATGACTAAACAAAATAAGAAACTAGTATCAGTGTCAGTGACTGTGAAATATCAACACTGGTGTAAAAATGCTTCCGGTTCACTGACAGCTTTTAGGGAAGGAAATCTACTATCTT